GAAGCAAGCAGAAAGGTTTTACTGCGATATTCAGAAGCCAACTAAAACCTCGAGAATTCTTTAAGGTACTCAGGGCATCTCCAATGGGGATGTAAAGCCACATTTACAATGAAAAAAGAATCTAAAGAGCTTCAGAACAGTTTTGGATAAACCAGTCAACTATTGCTCAAATCGATAAAGGATGCCCCTAATGACCAAAGCTTCATGGTTTACAGGCTTATTTAAACATGAAAAGCAAGCAATAAAATAAATCAAACGTAGCTCTATTGGAGAGGAAACTTGCATCACTAGTTTATCCCATTCAATTTGGGTTGGCTCTATAGCATTTTTCCTTGTATTTAAGTACTTACCTGGAGAAAAAAAGCACTAGTCCTAACCGGCTTATCAAGTACAAGTCAACTTTCTCATGCACAAAAGTTCAAAAATTGATTCAAAGAAAAAGAATGAACATATTATAAATGAAATAGTAGATTTATTATAGATACTTGCTGCACAATCCACATGCTTGTTTGACATGAATGTCTGATTTTGACGATGATAAGGTATTTACATAAAAGCAATGGTCAGAGAAATTATAACCAGCAATTTGCTTTTCAAGTCTTTTTCAAGTTCCCCCATTGCAATAATGGACGCCATTGCTGTGTGCATCCCTGTGTTTCACTTTTAGCTCCTTTAGGCCCCATATCCGAATTGTACGGTCATCACTGGCTGAGGCTAACATGTGTGTGTTTGTTGGATTCCAGCTGACACAATTAACAGCTCCAGAATGACCCGGCAATGCCTCTATGAGCTCCCCTGATCCTCTATGCCATACGTAAACCTGCACAGTGAAAACCATCAATTAGCACAGCGAAAGGGAAATGACAACCGAATTCTCATTTTACAACTAATAGCAATATAGCATAAATGTACTGAATCCAATTCTTCTGTGTGATGTCCTCTTAATCCCATTGATCACATTGACCTCACTGTACAGCGACAGTCCAGGATGATACACAACAATATCAAGACAATGTATTAAACTAAAAAGTTCTATGTCTGCCATTTTGGTTAACCCCACACCCTGGCAGCAAGCAACTAAAGGAGTTCAACCCTAAAATTAAAACAAAATAAAAAATAAACAAGAAGCCAGTTTCATATGCCATTAATGAAACTGCATCAACTACATTCTAGTTATCCAACGTGGAATCTAAATGGGAATATATTGGAGCTATATCCCGCAACCCCACCCCCTTCACACAGAAAAAATCACAGCAGAAAACATACAGGAACAAATAACAGATAAGCCTTATGCTTAATCACAAGAAACACAAGCAAAAAGAAGAGGCCTCAGAAGGAAGAAACCAAATTCTTTACCTGTGAATCCTCACTACCACTAGCGATGAAAGCTTGTTCAAGTCCACCAAAACAAGACCTGATAACAAATCGGGTGCGTTTGTGACCTTTGTACTTAGCAACAAGCTTGATTTCACCTTCTATGCTCCAGAGATGGATTTCTTGGTTCAGAAGATTAACCAACAAGAACCTATTATCTCTTGATAATGAAAAAGAAGTTATAGTTTGATCCTCTTCAATCAATATCTCAACTTTGGCTTCCCTGTCAAGTAGTAATATAGCATTATCTCTACAAGTACTTATAATTTGCTTCCCATCACTGGTTATCTCCAAATCAGAGATTCGTAAAGTTCGTTGGCCTTTCCAGCACTCCAGCTCCTTCCCATCTAACTCCCACATGCAGATACTCTTGTCACTGACACCAGAGAATATCCATTTTCCATCTGGAAACCATCCACAGGACACCAGACCAAGACCAGGTTTTTCATAAACATGGAG